CCATTGTTCACTTCATCCCAACTGAAATGTCCTGGACCGTGATAACACCATAGCCTTTTGGCATGCACCACCTTTGGCTCACCTCGCTGACCACATTTCATCCACAAAGTTACGTCTGAGAGATGATCCACTATGTCATATGGGCCTTCCAATGGAGAAGACAACTTAGGAGACTTCCCTTGTTTGCATAAGGGACGTGCTCCAATGAAGTTATATCAAGTTGGTGTACCAATGGAAAGAGTAGCCGTTGACATTGCTGGTCCTCTGCCCCAAACTCGTGCTGGTTGGGTCCCCTTTTAGCACAACATGTACTGCATGTTCTGCACCATTCTTCCACATCTTGCCTCATACCTATCCAGTAAAATCTCTTCCGTAGGTGACTCAATGTCTTCTTGACTCCAAGATGTCCTCCTATTAAACTATCATGGGATTGATGCAGCACAACTTCCTGTAACTTTCTTGGTATAACTGTTTGCCAGGTCGTCACTTTCCCATCTGCTATTTCCCATCTCCGGACAAGAATACCATCTCCAAGCTTCAACTGGTCCCATTGTGCCCAATAGTTCTTTGTCACAGGGCTTAAGCTAGACACCTTCTCCCAAGCAGGGTGCAAAACACTTCCTTGTAGAAAATCAGTTATTGGCTTCAAATTTTGGTCTTTCTCTTGTTCTGCTTTAATATCTATACTTTGTTCCACTTCACCATCATAAACTCCTTCGGTCACTTTGACTTCAGCTTGATGGCACCTGGTTAGTCCAACCTCTCTGTTAACACTTACCGGAATTTGGCCTTTGTTGTTCCCAAACATCATTTTATCAAAGTTAACTACACACTTCCTCGGTAGTAAGTAGTCCAACCCTAATATGCATTGGTCTTCAATGTCAGCCAAGTATACTTTGTGTCTGTCCTTTATGCCCATGAGCTTCATAGTTACCCACACTGGTCCCCACAACCTTGCATAATGTCCTGTCACACCACAGACCTTTTGTATTGCTTCTGGTACTCTCTTATGATCTAGCACCTTGATACTCACAAGGGTTTGCTGAGATGCAAAATCTAAGGCAAAGTTGCACTTTTGGCCATCCAGCTTCCATGTCCCTTTCACAGTGGGGGTTGGTGGGCATCCCTCAGAACTAACCACTAATGGTTTCCCCGATGCTGACTTAGTGGTAGAATTTTTCTTATACATAGCCTCTCATATGTCCATGCTCTCCACAGTGCCAACAACCTTTCTGGGTAGTAGCATTTTCTG